GCAGGCGATTGTATACATATAGTCCCTTGGAAGTGTTGATAGTCGTGAGCAGCTTGGATTCGTCATCCAGTGAAAGCTGCTGATATGCATGCTGGAGATCCAGCTGCGAGAAGAACTTTCCGTTTGACAGCTTCTGGTACAGATCCTCGGTGTTGGGTAGCGGGTACTGATTGACTTTAGCGGACTGGTTTACGGTACACTTGTAGTCGCCACAAATACGAATGTTGCTGTTTCAGGGGCGTAGCAGCTGCTCCGGCCGGTCCGGCTTTGGCCGGACCACTTTTTCGCCCGACCACGACCACCATAGTAAAACAATGCCAAAAGTGCCCAGAATGCAGACTTTTGCACCCTAAATTCCCAAAAATCCCGCGGGCGAGACCCCCCCCCCCCCTGGCGGGACCATCGCCAATGGCGGTGCTACGCGCCTGCGTTTCTCTTCATGACTGGGATGATAGGTGCTGCCCAGTCCGAGAATTCCACTGGACTGATGATTCCGGATTCCGCCAGGCGCGTCAGCTCGGCTTCCACAGCAGACTGTAACGCGTACGGCACTGAACGGGCTTGGATAAATCGAGGCTTGGCGTTCTGCACTACTGACAATCGGACCTTGCCATTCTGCCATGTGCCTATACCAGGCTTGCACAAAGACGGATACTCGGAAAGAACGTTGTGGTCTCGAGTGTCGTTGAACACAAAGTTCCAGTTCAGGCGTAGTAGCTCCAGACAATCACGACCAAGCAGGTTGGGGAAACCACCTTTCACCACGTGAATGGGAACTTCGGCAGACTGACGCGATCCATGTGTCACACGCGCCACAAACCGACCTTGGACTGGCAGAATCTTGCCATTGTACGTACGCAGCTTCAAGAGATTGTCAGTCTCCAGTTCAATATTAGACTTAGATGACAGACGGCGGTACTCAGTATCATTGATGATAGTTACGGCGGCACCCGTGTCAATTTTGAATACGGTTGGAACGATGTCAATGCGCAAGGTACACATATACGGATCAATGTGTGCACTTGGGGCAGTAGGAGTGTCTGGAACATCTGATGCTCCAGCCGATGTATGAAACAACGAGTACTCATCAGGTGGTGCAACTGTACTGCTGCTAGTTTTCATACTACTGGTACTTGCAGACTGTTCACCAGAAACACGATTCACTGACGAACGACAGACACTGGCGAAATGATTGTTTTTATTGCACTTACGGCAGGACTTGCCCCATGCTGGGCACTGCTCTCGGTTTGCATGCCAGGCACAACCACAGACACCACAGCGACGGGATTTACTGTGAGTGCCACTGGCGCTGGAGCTTGCAGCTGACTTGCTGCTGGCATACGTTGGCCTTGGTTTTTGGAGGACGAATGCTCCACTTTGTGCATTGTCGATTCCTTGCTGAAACTGGCGCTGGTAAAGCTGCTGATGCCTGTCATTGCCGCCACGGATGACGGTGTCGCCTCGACAGAGCGCGCGTATGTCAATAGATCCATCAGGGCAATACTGCTCTCCATAAAGGCCTTTTCTCTCACTTTCGAGAGGACGCAGTGCTGTACGACTTGAGATTTAATCTCAGAGTCGACATTGGAGAAACTGCAGTGCTAGGCCAGCCTACGTAGCCTAGAAACATAGCTGTCGATCGATTCAGCTGCTGCTTGCTTCTCTCGCCTGAACAAATAAATTTCATACTCCACGTTGCGCTTCGGCATAAATTGGACCAGCAAGGCATCTTTTAGCTCCTTGTACGTTCCAGTCTGGCTATCATCTAAAGTCAAATACAGGTCAAAGACATCCTCTCCTCCGACATGCAGGAGCTGAGCCTTCTGGCGGGCGTCCTCAGTGACTTGGGCTGCTATCGAATAATTATCAAATCTGGCAACCCATCTCTCCCAACGGAGGCCAATGGATTCCGCCGGTTGGAGAGAAAATGGAGCCAATGACTTCATCGCTACAGAATCCATCCTAGCATCCTAGACAAAACACTTGACTTCGTCGCCAAAATATTATGGTTCACGCAATACTCAATACTCAACAGAGGACATTCATGGTAATCACTTTCAGAACGAAACAAGAAGAAGAACGACAACCAAAGAACAAACACAGAAACTATGCATGCACGCACTGTACGCAGCACGTGCGAAGTCAATAAAATTCCAAAGTACAGATACCACATCGTTCACAGCAACGGATAGGAACTCATATGGGGAAATTATAGAAAAGAAATAATGAGATAAAGAGAATAAATTTCAACGCACCTCAATAAACGGAGCCCCACATACAGTACCTCAGAAAAGTAGATCTACCGACCAGTGTTTTTGTTGACGGCGCAACCGGATGATGTAGCTGCTTCGCAAAGACGTCTTACTGCGAAAATTACAAATCAATCGTATTCTTCGATTAGAAAACCCAAGCGCTTTCAGAGTCCTCGGAAGAGATTCCGGGATGAAACCACGCACACCTACCTCAACCGAAAAAGAAACGACCTGCCACCCGTTTGCTCGGCATTGATCCGCCAGATCCGCATACCGCCTGTCCTTCCGCGAGTTACTTACACTGAATCTGTCCTCAGCACAAACTGTCAACTCCATCCAGAATACAATCCTACGACTCGTAGAGTACAGAACCATATCTGGTCTTAGGGTGGTAATTGCAACACAGCAAGGGAAAGAAATCTTTGCACTAACTGAGTCGACAAGAAGTTTCCAGTCTGAGGCTGCTGACTGGAGATCAGTCGTAACCAGCTTTCGTCTGGGCTGAACGCAAACTGCCTTCTCTCCCGCCTTGCAAAAGGAGATGAAGTCAAGCTCATTTGAAATTTCGGTTTGTAAGGTGTGTGCAGCAGCGCGGATTCGAATCTCCTCACGCATGTTCCTGACAATGATCCCGAGTACGTTGTCGTGCCTCCAGGTGTAACGTCCCTGGTCCAGCGCTACGCGACAGGCGCCAAGCACGTGGCGCGTAGTCAAGGCCCAGGCACGGCACAAATAACAGTACGGATCCACTACCGTGTTTCCCCAACGGCGTAGGTTTGTCGGAGAAGGTAGCACGTCGAGGGTTGACGCGAGAAGACATTTCACATCCTTACCAGTACCACCATGCTAAAGGGATTTCCACGAAAGGTCCTGCCACATCACCGATGTCCACTCCAACCACTTGCCTTGCACCTGAAGAGTCTTCAGCCTAAACATCTGCTCCTGCGCGTTGATCTCCTCAAATCTTTGAAAGAGATCCTTCCTCGGGGGTTTGGAATGCTGCTTCGGAGCACGAGCACCCAACCCTGCACGATGACTTGACGGTAATAGTGGACGGAGAGTCCCTGAACCTACTGATGCCTCTGCACACTCCAGCTCTATTGTCGCCGCATACCACTTTGTCAGCTTTGCATCCTTACTCCGACGCAGAGTGTACAGCGCCCTCATGCGCGCGTCCCCACTCGGTCGAAGAATGTGCCATTTGATGGACTGGCACTTTTTCCACACCGTAGGAAGGTAGTGGAGGCGTAAGCCAAAGCGTTTGCGACTGCCAATAAAAAGAATGGCAGAGTTTGCGCATCGATGTAGGCCTGACCATTTCTTCAGAAATGGTAAACGCATAAAGTGCATTTCACGAACAAAGCCTTGTGTAAGTTCAAGAACTTTATGTGTAAGAGAAAGAGGGAGAGAGATAGGGGGAGAGAGAGAGAGAGAGATAGAAAGATAGATAGATAGATAGATAGATAGATAGATAGATAGATAGATAGATAGATAGATAGATAGATAGATAGATAGATAGATAGATACTCAATCTGCGGACAGCATACTGTTTCGTTCTTTTTGAACTCATCAGCGCAGCACAGAGGAAATGAGGCCGAACATGATAGCAATGAAAATAAAAACTTCCAATCAGGCCCGACCGTACCTTGCCAGAGTGCTCAAACTGACAAGTCTGTAAGCTCTACGTAATGCAAACAGCAAAGGCACTACCCCACATGAGAGTGCTGAACTACTACAAGAGCAGGCGCGAAAATACTCAATCTGTAGACAGCATGCTGTTTCGCTCTTTGTGAACTCATCAGCGCAGCACAGAGGAAATGAGGCCGAACCTGATAGCAATGAAATAGATCTATAGATAGATAGATAGATAGATAGATAGATAGATAGATAGATAGATAGATAGATAGATAGATAGATTGATTGAGAGAGAGAGAGAGAGAGAGAGAGAGAGAGAGAGAGAGAGAGAGAGAGAGAGAGAGAGAGAGAGAGAGAGAGATAGATAGATAGGGAGAGAGATAGAGGGAGAGGGAGCTAGAGATAGAGATAGATAGAAAGATAGAAAGATATATATATATATATATATATGCCTGTGTGGATTCACAGGAAGTGTGAGTTACGAAGTCTGAAGAAAATGTTGAACGGCCTCTGCTGGGATGACGACTACACCATAGCTCAGTGGTTAGAGCATCGCTGGCTACAAGCGAGGGTCCCTGGTTCGAGTCCTGGTGGTGACAGTCAACTTTTTCTTCAGACTTTTCCCGTTTGTCTCTTTCCCTCAAATCAGTCAATATATATATATATATATATAGAGAGAGAGAGAGAGATGGAGTGATTGAGAGATAGAGAGAGAGAGATAGAGAGAGAGATGGAGAGAGAGAGATAGGGAGAGGGAGAGCTATAGAGAGGGAGAGAGACAGAGACATATAGAGAGGGGAGAGAGAGATAGAGATAGAGAACGAGATAGATCGAGATAGATAGATAGATAGATAGCTAGATAGATAGATAGAGAGAGAGAGAGAGGCAGAGAGAGGGAGAGAGAGAGGTAGAGAGAGTGAGAGAGAGAGAGAGAGAGAGAGAGAGAGAGAGAGAGAGGGGGAGGGAGGAGAGAGAGAGAGAGAGAAATAGAGATGAAGGGAGAGAGGTAGATAGAGAGAGGTAGATAGATAGAAAGAGATAGATAGAGAGAGATAGAAAGAGAGTTAGAGAGAGATAGATATAGAGAGATAGAAAGATGGATTGAATATTTACCCCGACAGTCAGTGCCATTGCTCCTAAGTTCCGGTGGGCATTTGCAGAGAAAAGAACCAAATGTGTTTTCACATGTTGCCAGACCAGTGCAATCATCGATCTTCAAGCTACATTCATCAACATCTGTTCCAATACAAATAAGAATACAACCTTGAACGTTCATCATCATCATCATCATCATCATCATCATCATCATCATGTGACCAAGCCGCTTTTACGGGCAACAATATTTAGAATATAAAACGCAAGGTATTGTAAGAGCAATTTTCTGAAAATAATGCATTATCACACCGTAGCCACTTTTATGGGCAAATTCCAATACAAGGCAATAGGAAAACGAGGATGAAGTTAACCTTTTAACCCAAAGAAAAGACAAAAGATGTCAACAATAGAACTACAAATAAAATAAAAAAAACATCAGGTCATAAAAACTACTTTAAAACATAACCAAATGACAGCAAAGCGTGGAGAATGAGATTGACTTACAAAACAAAAGTAGTCCTACTATGCTTACAAAACAGAATCTACCTACACCACTAAGGAAGAAACATTAAATGATTGCAGTCTCACAAACACCGGCCTCTATCTAACGACCCATCAAACAATAACTCCTGAAATTCTTGACTGACTTTTTCAGGTAGGAGCTACGGCAGCCACGAAAACAGTTCACTGCCCAACGGAGTAAAGTGAACATCATCATCATCATCATCATCATCATCATCATGATCATGATCATGATCATGATCATCATCGTCATCATCATCATCATCATCACTTGAACAGCCTCTTGTACGGGCAAGCAAAAACGCAATACATCAAAATTCAACTAGAATGAAAAAAGAGAGGAAAATGAAAACAAAGTGCACTGGAACTCAATATAAAAAGGAACGCAAAGTGCTGTTGAACACAATGAGCATGGGGCCACCAATCGGAGAAGACCGGCTCATAATGGAATAAAAGAACAAACATAAAAAACTTAAGACAACCGTACATCAACATCATCATCATCATCATCATCATCATCTGCGTTGCAGAAAAATAATAATACTAAAATAAAAAAATAAAAAACGGCATTATGCAGCTGTGTAAACAGTAGCTGCACAGTGTGACTGCCAGGCATCTCTGTCAGAGTGAGGGTTACAGTACATGAAACTTGGCGTTGAAACAAACCAACCTTGTTCCACGGTTCTGCAGTCTACCATTGGTGGAATCTGGATATTCGTAACGCCGAATAAGCGGCAGGAGGAACGCTTTAAAGACGATATTCCCAAATGGTGCGCTAGAAAACAATTCACTTTACAAATCGACAACTTGCCCGTGTTGTACCCTTCTTGGCTTGGTTGTGGTTTTCCTTCTTCTTTTTCTGCATGTTCCATTTGTACCAGGAGTGAATAACCAAGAGAACGCAGCCGGATCTGATTTCTATGGAACAGATGTGCAGCATGCTGCCTTAACTACATGAATTGAATACACAAATTGCTTGCCCTATTAGGCAGACAACAGAAGAAGTCGGAAATCAGGCATAGGACCTTCGCCTTTCTTACGTTACTTCATAACTTAGAACCTTCCAAGTTTGAAGGCTGCTGGTTTGCGCATTGTAGACGTTCTGCAGCTAAGCATCAGGTCGTTGAATGTCATGATCTCATTAGTCAGTTTTGTGCTAATTGTTGCACATTTTTGACTCAACAGTAATCTGCTTATAACCGTTAGTGTTGGACAAAACGGATAACTTGTAAACTTTTGGTCCTCTTTTTTAATATTAATCCTTGGCTCTCCATCCGAGTTTATTAAAGTGGAGATGTGCATTGAACTGTCGTGACATCATCATATCAGTATTAGGTTTTGAACAGGTCTACAAAGACATGAACTGATAACTATTAACAAAATAAAGATGAACTCGGATACTGATTCAGTAATAAATGTAAAAAAGAGAAGACGCACGTGAATGGAACAAATTAGAACGAGTTATGCAGCAACTATCCACGACTGTAAAAAGATGATAACCGGAACTGCTCCCAAACAGTAAGAAAAGCTTACAAGCCACCCTGGATGTGCACCATGACTGGGGCAAGAATCAGGTTTGAGCCCACAAAGTCACAGCTCATGAAGATAGCCCATCAGCGGCACAGGTGGCCTATCATGGACCTCACGGTTGGAGATCACACTGTGTCAGAGCTATCGGAGGTAAAACTCCTCGGCATCACATTTGACTCGGGCCTCTCCTTCAAGACCCACCTCCACAACACAGCACTCAAGGCGAATTCTCGCTTGGGCTTCCTGTGCAAAGCTGCTCGCTTACTCGATGGTGCGGGTACACAAACCGTCTACAGAGGTTTTGTGAGGCCAGTCCTAGAGTATGCGCCATTGGTATGGATTGGAGCAGCTTCAAGCCATCTGCGCCTTCTTGATCGAGTGCAGAGACGCGCCCTCCACATTATTGGCCCTGGTGTCCTCCTCCACAGTCTAGCAGCAAGGAGATCGGTCGCCTCCCTCAGCTATAATTATGTACGAGGTGAATTGCTATTTCTGGACATTGTACATTGCTGGACATTTCGAGTAAAATAATTTTTCGTCGCGTGTAGAGTCAAGTCAGTCAGGTTGATGAAGTTTTTTTCTTGTTGTAGTTGACAGCTGGGCTGTTGTAGTTTCTCCTCGTGTCGGTGCCTTGTTGATAGCCTTTTCTTGGGAGGCATTTCAACGAGTTTTGTGGTACTATGTCGCATGAGAATTTTGAATTTTGAGTAAAATAAGAAGTAATGGACGAATTGTTGGCTTCCCCATGTGCACTTCACTTCAGACGCTGTATAGTCTTGGACCTGTTAGCTGGAAGTGTGAAGAGGCCAACTGCAGTCCACCAATAGAACAAATAACAAAAATGGTGCAGTATAGGATGCCTATTGACGCTATTTTACTTTCATGGCCAGAATTCAATACACTGAAATTTAGGCCCAAAAATTGGCCTGTCAAAAACATCCCGCTATAAAGTCTCTGGGATCACAGCATGAGCAATTGTCACATATTTGGAAAGATGAAGGATTAAGCCATACAATAGATACAAAAAGATATGAAAAATGTAAAACACACAGCCAGTGGGCCTCTATTTTATTTTCATGTCCAGAAATTGCTATTCACCTCGTATAAACTGATGTGCCTGGCAGGCCACCGCAACTTACGTCGCTGGTCCCCCACAGCTTCCTCCACCAACATGTCCACGAACTCGGTCCGGCCACTCGGTGTGCCACGAGTCTCAGCTACAGAACGTCCTCCCGGCTTCCTCTCCTGATTATGTGCGACGCTGCTTCCCCTACAGCATCACTGATGAGTGGAACAACTTGCCCCCAACTGTGCTGCAGTCTTCGCCACGCCTCACGTCCCTCCAGTCGTTCAAGGGCAAGGTGCATCAGCACCTATGACAAAGCTGCTGGTGTTGGGCCACAGTCTCGCTGTAACACCCCATCCACAATCAACTCCCTCCCCCTCACTTATCTATTTACATGCGTTTCGTAATCCCGTCCATGGTGCGCTGGATAGCGCTAACGCCGAGATCCTAGGTCGGCATTGCTAGTCCCGCCTCACCGGCACAGGCTCCCTGAGAGCCCCTACTAGTACATTGTCGGTCTTGCTCCTTTGTTGTCTCGATCATTATTTTCTTTTATCTTCTTCCTCTCCTCTCTTTGTGATGGTCTATCAGGAGGAGGGGCATTCTGTAGAAAATTAAAAAAAATGATAACCAGTAAGAAAGTGCGATAATAGGGCACAAAACTGACCCTCTCTTCGGTCCTACGTCCTACGTAGCTGCCCTTGGCAACTCCGAACGCGGCAGTGTACGACCAGATCAACCTGAGGATAGAATCATAAACTTGTACCCCAATCCACTTAAGCCTAGTTCACATTCGACGGGGCGCGACGGGACGCGACGTAAGGATCGACGGGAAGCGACGGGACGGTCTGACTGCGTCCAATGTGAACACCAGGAACGGGAACGCAACCGTACTACCGTACAGATCGGGTAGCAACGGGAAGAGTTGGATCGATCCAACTTTTCATACCGTAGACGGGCGTAGACGGGGACGTAAGCGTACAAAACGGCTGCAATTCGAGTGTGAACAGGAGACGGCATTGTGCGCCGACTGTTCCCGATTCGTTTTTGGAAATTTTTAGCATTTCGAACACTGCGCTTCCCATGATAACTCACAAGGAGAAATAATTGAAAAGAAGTCCCGAAAAGCGAGAAATTAGGTCCAAAAGTCACCCCGTCACGGACCGTGCCTTATGACTCGTGCCGTTCGACGGTGAACGTCGCAACGACTGCTGCATATCGTGTCGTACGAATCGTACAGGATTTTACAGCTCACCCAGCCCTCCCGACATGCCCTTACGTCCCGTACCGTCGGCGTTGCGTCGAATGTGAACTAGGCTTTACGGACCAGCTACGGTATCAGAGCCCTATCTACGTACTCTCCGTAGACAACTTTCCGTAAGTGGAGTGCAAAATCACGAATTCACGGGTTTTTCCCACCAACGTACAGTTGAGCAACTTTACGTAGTGCGGAACCTCTCTTTCTGACTGTTTATCATCGTGTTACAGTCGTGAATAGTGCTTGTTCTCATGTGTTTCTTCTATTTTCTTTAAAATTTGATGAGCTCACGAGAAGTCCACCTGAGCATCTGAGGGAAACACCAATTGCTGTTTAACCCTTTGCCAACCATAGTACAGGTATATCTGTACCAGTGTACAGTGCTTGCTTCGTCCTCGCACAATTCGCCTGTCCCTTTGCCAGATCAGACGATTAAAAGGTAAAATATAGGCATAAAAATGTCAAAAAGCTTTGGGTGATCTGGGATGATTTTTTTAAATAGCAGATAATTTGAGTTAGACGCTCGTAATGGTGGATTTGGAGCGCCAAACTGCGCTGTGGCGCTGATCATGTGGATCCACGGATGAATTGCTGGCTATGGACCACTTGCCATTTGTACAGATCCACGAAATCTCGTAGAATCCCGTAGACCCGGAAGGGTGTTGAATGTGTGCTATGCATGCGCATTTGACCAATTTTCGCGTCATAATTCAATGACCAGCAATCGCTTTTTCAGCTTCTTCACTATGGTTAGAACTAATGACT